GCGGTTCTGATTCCTCTCCTGAACCCAAAACTCCTGCTGCTAGGGCCATTCCCAGACGAAGCAGGTCCGGTTCATCAAGCAAGGGCCGAGGACCTTCTCCTGACGGAAGTAGTAGTTCCGAGTCCTCTCCAGAACATCCACCCAAATCCAGAACTGCACGAAGAGGTTCCAGATCATCCCCTGAGCCCAAGACTAAGTCTCGCACACCACCTCGACGTCGAAGCTCTCGGTCATCTCCTGAACTAGCTAGGAAAACCAGGCTTTCCCGAAGAAGCCGTTCTGCTTCATCCTCACCAGAAACCCGCTCTAGAACTCCCCCAAGACGTCGAAGAAGTCCCTCAGTGTCTTCACCAGAACCAGCTGAAAAATCGAGATCTTCACGCCGACGGCGCTCAGCATCATCTCCACGCACCAAGACAACTTCAAGGAGAGGTCGTTCTCCTTCACCCAAGCCTCGTGGACTCCAGAGGTCTCGTTCTCGCTCAAGGAGGGAGAAAACCAGAACAACCCGACGTCGAGATAGGTCTGGGTCTTCTCAATCTACTTCTAGGAGAAGACAGAGGAGCAGGTCAAGGTCTCGGGTTACTCGGCGGAGGCGTGGAGGTTCTGGCTACCACTCACGGTCTCCTGCTCGACAGGAGAGTTCTCGAACTTCCTCTCGACGGAGAAGAGGTCGCTCTCGGACGCCCCCAGCCAGTCGGAAGCGTTCCCGCTCACGCACATCACCAGCCCCATGGAAACGCTCTAGGTCTCCAGCAGCACACCGGCGATCCAGGTCCAGAACGCCCCTGATCAGCCGCCGTAGGTCCAGATCGCGAACCTCACCAGTCAGTCGGAGACGGTCAAGGTCTAGGACATCAGTTACTCGCCGAAGGTCTCGGTCAAGGGCATCCCCAGTGAGTCGAAGGCGATCCAGGTCCAGAACACCTCCAGTAACTCGCCGTCGTTCAAGGTCCAGAACACCAGCCACACGACGGCGCTCCCGTTCCAGAACTCCACCAGTGACCCGCAGGAGGTCCAGGTCTAGAACTCCACTGGTAACAAGAAGGCGGTCTCGAAGCAGAACTTCACCTATTACACGCAGAAGGTCAAGATCTAGAACATCCCCAGTTACTCGAAGGAGGTCACGCTCTCGAACCTCTCCGGTAACTCGAAGGAGGTCCCGCTCTCGAACCTCTCCCGTGACACGCCGCCGCTCTAGGTCACGAACACCACCTGCTATCCGACGCCGCTCCAGGTCTCGAACACCACTTTTACCACGCAAACGTTCTCGAAGTCGCTCACCACTTGTTATCCGCCGCCGTTCTAGATCCCGTACTCCACGAACAACTCGGGGCAAACGGTCCCTCACGAGATCTCCTCCAGCCATCCGCAGGCGTTCTGCATCTGGAAGTAGTTCTGATCGTTCACGTTCTGCTACTCCTCCAACAACAAGAAATCATTCTGGTTCTCGGACCCCTCCAGTGGCACTCAATAGCTCCAGAATGAGCTGCTTTAGTCGTCCTAGCATGTCACCAACTCCTCTTGACCGTTGTAGATCACCTGGAATGCTTGAACCCCTTGGTAGTTCTAGAACACCCATGTCTGTCCTGCAGCAGGCTGGTGGCTCCATGATGGATGGTCCAGGTCCCCGAATACCTGATCACCCTAGAACATCTGTGCCAGAAAATCATGCTCAGTCTAGAATTGCACTTGCCCTGACGGCCATCAGTCTTGGCACTGCTCGGCCTCCTCCGTCCATGTCTGCCGCTGGCCTTGCTGCAAGAATGTCTCAGGTTCCAGCTCCGGTGCCTCTCATGAGTCTCAGAACAGCCCCAGCTGCCAACCTTGCCAGCAGAATTCCT